ACTAGGGAGCCGTGAATGCACACTGGCTACGTTGGATTAGTAGAAGCCCAGGAAATGTCTCCAGAAAGTTGTCTGCTTTCCACAACAAAATAATGATTAAATTTCAAAAATATTTTTGAAAGGAAGTGGTATTATTATTGAATAAAAGCCTTATTATGACTGGGCATGGTGGCTCAAGCCTGTAATCCTAGCACTTTGGGAGGCTGAGGCAAGAGGATTGCCTGAGCCCAGGGGTTCGTGACCAGCCTGGGTAACTTGGTGAGATCTTGTCTCTACAGTAAATCAAAAAATAAGCTGGGCTTCCTAACAAAAAGTAACCCTTAAGTTCCTCTCCCACTGTGGGAGCTTTCTGTCCTCTCAATAAATCCTGCTTTCTAAAAAAAGAAGAAAGCTGGGCATGGTAGCGCACACCTGTAGTTCCAGCTACTTGGAAGGCTGAGATGGAAGGATCACCTGAGCCCAGCAGGTCAATGTTGGGGTGGCCATGCCACTGCACTCCAGCCTGGGCAATGGAGTAAGACTCCAACTCAAAAAAAAAAAAGAAAAAAGAAAAAAAGAACCTTATTGCTGAGAAAATTATTATTATTATTATTATTTTGAGTTGGGGAGCTCACAGTCACCCAGACTGCAGTACAGTAGCATGGGCATGGCTTACCAAAGCCTCGATCTCCTGGGCTCAGGCAATCCTCCCTCCTTATCTTCCTGAGTAGCTGGGACTACAGGTGTGTACCACCATGTCTGGCTAATTTTCTTATTTCTGTAGAGATGAAGTCTCACTCTGCCACCCAGGTTGGATTGCAGTGGCATAAATGTGGCTCACTGCAGCCTCAACTTTCTGGAGTAGCTGGGACTACAGGTGCGCACCACCATGCATGGCTAATTTTTTGACTTTTGTAGAGACAAGGTCTCACTCTGCTGTCCCGGCTGGAGTGCAGTGGCGCACAACCACGGCTCATTGCAACCTTGACCTCCCGAGCTCAGGTGATCCTCCCATCTCAACCTTCCAAGTAGCTGGAACTGCAGGTGCATGCCACCACGCCTGGCACTGAGAAAATTATTGATTACTGTTATTGAATGAATGGGAACAGTGGTATAGAACCCAAGGGGCATAAAATCAACAAAGTATCTTCCATTTGACGGGGAATGTCTTTTGCACACATTTATCGCGCACGCATTATTTGTTCTGGGAACTCATAATACTCTTTCTTTACTTACATGCACTCTGCTATCTCTGGGGTGCCTCTGACCCTCTTTTTGAATTCATCTCCATCTGCATCCTTCTCCACTTCTCAGTATATTCCTGACCTCTGGTCTTCACTGTCTGAAGTTTTCTTCATTCTCATCTGCTTTCAGGGTCTCGGAAGTCACCCTTTTCTTGGGGAATCTGAAACCTCTCCTCCTGCTTGACTACTTTCTCCTCCTGTCAGGAGATTAATCTTCACCTTCATGCCCATGTTCCAAGCTAAATTCATCGCTTTTCCACTCCACAGACATCCCTTTCAGCTTGCAACTTCTCTAAACAGCATTGTTATTTTCTAGTTATTGACTAGAATCTTGACATCGTTTTTGGCATCTGTTTAAAAAGTTTTTATTGTATAGTATCTTACATGAAAAGGTTTATAATTTGTCTATGGAGTTTAAATAATAATAATAACACATACATACAGCATCTTAGAAACCCTGTTATTTCTTCCCGACAACATCTCCTCTGTTACTGCCCAGATCAGCGGTCCCCAACTTTTTGGCATCAGGGACCGATTTTGTAGAAGACAAGTTTTCCACAGACTGGTGGGAGGGGTGGGTATTGTCAGGCATTAGATTCTCATAAGGAGCGTGTAACCTAGATTCCTCGCACTCGCAGTTCACAATGGAGTTTCAGTTGCTATGAGAATTGCTGCCACTGATCTGATGACAGAAGATAGAGCACCCCTCACCCACTGGTTGCTTCCTGCTGTGTGGCCTGGTTCCTAACAGGTCATGGAAAGGTACCGGTCCATGCCCTGGGAGTTGGGGACCCCTGATCCAGATATTGTCACTATCCTAAGTGTTCTTTATTACCTACTGTGACATAGTAAGAAATATAAATTTGGATTTTGTCCCTAGTTCTGGTACAGAGCTCCTAAAACCCTTGTGTTTCCTGAGTGATGAGGTGATGGGAGTATTTTTTGTTCTCCTGACACAGAGGTCCTAAATCCTTTGAAATTTCCTGGGTGATAGGAGCGTCTTTGGTTCTAATGCGCCCTTAGATAACTTCAGGGTAGGGCTGGCTTCCAGGTAGACCAAGCCTTGAGTCAAAGCCTAGAATTTTCAGCTTCCTCCCTCCCCTATTCTTTAGGGAGGGGATCAGGATTGGAGTCTGAGTTAATAATTGATCATGCCTACTCAATGAAACCCCCATCAAAACCCCTAAATGAGGGATTCAGAGAGCTTCTGATTTCGTGAACACATTGAGGTGCTGATTGATAGCTAGTATTTGACTTGCTTCTGGTTTTTTCACTATTATGAACAAAGTTGCTATGACCATTCTTGGGCATGTCACCTGTGCACGTGTGTAAGGGTCTTTCCAAGTTCTAAGCCTACTGAGTCTGTTCGAGCTGTTATAACAAAATACCATACACTAGGTGACTTATAAACAACAGAGATTTATTTCTTGCGGTTCCAGAGGCTAGAAAGTCCAAGATCAAAGTGCTGGCAAATTCTGTGTCTTGTGAGGGCCTACTTCCTGGTTCACAGGTGGCACCATCTGTGCCACGTGAGGTCTTTGTAGGTGTGTAGATCTATGAATTGTGACAAACATATATAGTTGTGTAAGGATTTACATCGGAAGCATCATTCTAGCAAATGAGGGAAGATTTGATGATTGGTGGGGAAGACTGGTGTAGGCTACTTTAGCATTTTGAAAATTACAAGATATTTTGTCTAAGTGGAATTTTCTCTTAGATTGTAACATTTTTGATTCATATAATCCAATGGAGGACACGATAAGGCATTTTGGTTCTCATGGTCTCTGGCTAAGATTGTATCAAAAGACAATAAAGGTAATTCAGGGATAATTACAGTGCTTTTAAAGGTCTCTATCACCTTTTCTGTTTAGTATTTCACGTGGAGACTGAAACAAATTTTTATGAATAAATTGCAATACAGACGATCAATCTGTAGAAAATTGAAGGTCAAGTGTCTAGAGGTAATATCTGATCTGAGGAAATCATGTTTTTAGTTAATGTAGCTCCTTTTATTAGGGACGAATTCATTGGTCAAGAGAGTTATGTTCATTGGCTGTAACTTTGTAAGTGCATGATTCCACTAACATAACTTGGAATTTACACTAGAAGTTTTGCTTTAACTTCTCTTACATTTGGAATATTGTTTAAATATATAGCCAAAAGGAAAATGAGATTTGAAAATTAATCATTATAAATATTAAGTATTAAAAAATAAGAATTAGCATGTATTGAGTACTTATCCCATAAATGTACTTTACAATAACATATTTGTTTAATCTTTTTTAATTAATCAATATTTTTTATTATGGTTTTGTGGGGTACAGTTAAGGGTTAGGTGTACAATTACGTTTCATTCAGGCACCCTGTTGATAAGAGGTGTTTTCCCATCCCCAGACAGATATTTGCTACTGTTAATCCCATCCGCCTCCCCCCCCATAGTTTCCCAGTACCGTCAGTCATTTTCTTATAGTATTACATTGGATGTTCAAGGTCCATTATATGAGTGAGAACATGTGATACTCGGATCTTTGTTTCTGTGAGAGGTCACTCAGTATTATAGACTCTAGTTCCATCCAGGTTGCTACGAAATTCATGATTTTGTTCTTTTTTATGGCTGTGTAGAATTCCATCGTGTATATGTACCACATTTTTTTAATCCAGTCCTCTTTTGATGGGCAGCATGGTTGTTTCCAGGTTCTTGCTATTGTGAACAATGCTGCGACAAACATACTTGTGCAGGTATCTTTTTTATAGGGTGATTTGAGTTCCTCAGGGTATATTCCCAGTAGGGGGATTGCAGGGTCATATGGAAGGTCGATTTTTAGAGCTTTTAGGAATCGCCACACTGCTTTCCACAGAGGTTGCACTAGTTTACACTCCCACCAACAGTGTAGAAGTGTTCCCTTTTCACCACACCCTCTCCAGCAGCTGTTATTTTTTTAGTTGTTGATAACTGTCATTCTGACTGGAGTTACGTGGTATCTCAGTGTGGTTTTGATTTGCATCTCCCTGATGATTAGTGAGGTTGAGCATTTCTTCATGTGTTTGTTGGCTGCTCGGATGTCTTCTTTTGTTAAGAGTCTGTTTATATCTTTTGCCCATTTTATAATGGGGTTGTTTGTTTTCTTCTTTTCAGTACATTTCAGTTCCTTGTAGATCCAGGATGTTAAGCCTTTGTCAGACCTGGTGTTGGCAAATACTTTTTCCCAGTCTGTAGGCTGTCTCCCTGCTCTCTTGATGGTTTCTTTGGCTTTGCAGAAGCTTGTCAGTTTAATAAGGTCCCACTTGTCTATCTTCTCTCTTATGACCTGTGGGTCTCGGGTTTTGTACAGGAATTGGATGCCAGTTCTGATTTCCATGAGGGTATTTCCTTCCTTTTCTAAGGTTCTTATGGTTTGAGGTTTTACATTTAAGTCTCTGATCCATTTGGAGTTAACCTTTGTGCATGGGGATTGTTTAATCTTTACAATAACCATTAGAAAGAAGTACTTTTATTATCCCAATTTACAGCTAAAGAACCTGAACTTTATACACTTTCTCTATCATGAAAAGGAATAGGATTCTTATTATGTCAAAATATGGCAGATTGGGGGTTTAAGTGGAAGTATGTTTATTTCTTCTGAATTGTTTCATTTTGAACTGTTGAGAAAAGCCTCATGAAAATCTAGGGGGCATCTTTTTTTAAAAAAATGTTTATGTAAATTAAAAGCTGTAAGGTATTCATAGAACTGTACCACAGACACGAACATTTTAAAGATAAGACAACACCACCAGCAATAACTTGCTAAAGGAAGTTTATTGAATACAGAGAATGGACAACAGAATTCTGTTCGGGAATCAGATGAGTTGTCATATTTGTATGTGACACTCTTCTGGATGAATGGGGAGATACTGTTATTGATTGCCCAGAAAAAGAAATTAACAGAAAGACAACAGGACAGATATTTTTCTTAGACATGCTCATTTTTCTGGATAGATGTATAATGCCTTTTCTTCTCTAATGGTATTTGGCATTTGTTCTCTGTTGTGTCTCACATTAATTGCTTTGAGATTTCTCCTCCAGGGAGTGGAGCCTAGTGGTAAGTATTTTGCTGCGTTGATCTACCTCCTCAAGAACTTTCTTTATCACTATGGCTTTGGCTGAATCTGAAAATTAAAAATTAAACGGAGCTTTTAGAGAATTTTAAAAAAGATGAATAAGAAATTATATCAGTTAAAGGAATACAAGATTTTTATGTGGCATGAACTATGCAGTAAGCACAGATACTTAGACTCTTTTTTGGTGAATTTTGATGGCTTGGTTGGGTAAAAACATGGTGACATGTTACTTTGTTTAAAATGAGCATACATCACTAAAGTTAGACAACTAGCACATACTGATATCTACCACAAATCTTTATTATATCTATTTTATTATAATCTATTCTTACTAATCCATGGTAATATAAAAACAATCAAGTTGTGCATTGAAATGAAATAGAGGCTGGGCCCGCTGACTAACACCTGCAATCCCAGTACTTTGGGTGACCAGGTGGGAGGATTGCTCGAGCCCAGGAGTTCAATACCTGCCTAGGCAACATAGCAAGACCTCGTCTACACAAAAAATAAAAAAAAATTAGCCAGGAGTGGTGGTGCATGCCTGTAGGCCCTGCTACTTGAAAGGCTGAGGTGGAAGGATTGTTTGAGCCCAGGATGTTGAGGCTGTGTCAAGCTGTGATCATGCCACTACACTCCAGTCTGGGTGGTAGAATGAGACTCTGACTGAAAAAAGAAAGGAAGGAAGGAAGGAAGAAAGGAAGGAAAGAAGGAAGGAAGAAACAGTCTAGCATAACAACAGAATTTTATTTTAATTACCTTTGACTTGATTTCCTATGTTTGCAGATCCACAATCTTTAGACTTGTAACCTCCAGACTTACAAGTCCTGTGAAAGTATCACAGAAGAGAGTGATTTAGAGAGAGCCCCTTCAATTCTAGGTTCACCACTGGGTTTTCTTCAGCTCTTTATTAAGAACATATTCAATGGGTGACACTGTTGAAACAACTCTGCTTCAGCATGAAGAAGTATTATTTTTAATTTCCTCACCTGAGACACAGGACTTGTTGCTAATTTGTACCTTGGCAGTCGAATGCCTACTAGGTCAATCATTTAGCATGTGTGATAATACACGGAGCCAAATTAGTTGAGGCTCACTTTCTAGGGATCTAAGTTGCAAGCAGCTTTCAGCCCATTGCACGTTCCCTGTAAGTTATTCTACCTACCCGTCGTCTCCTCCTATAAGGAGGCAGTAGGTTTTGATCTCCTTTTCCAGGTGGGACTTGATGTTCAGGAGCTGTTCATACTCGAGCTTCTGGCCCTCGGTCTCGGTCCTGACCTGGTGCAGCTGCTCCTCCAGGGCCCCGATCTGAGCCTGGATCTGCGCCAGCTGGGCACAGTAGTTACCTTCGGTCTCCGTCAGGGAGCACTCCAGGGAGTGTTTCTGTCAGGAAGCAAGAAAGAGAGCCTGAGACAGAGGTATGGCTGTGCACACATATCTCTGATACGTGATTCTCTCTCTGATACGTGATTCCCTCCTGTCATTAACCTGACCTATCGTTGTTTTAGAGTTCACATTGACACACAGTGAAGATGACTCATGACATTGCTTGATGATGAGCAAATCCTTCTTTTTCTGGTAGGATCGCTCCGAAGACATTGGTGTTGCTCTTTTAACTGTTATCTATACAATCCTACTGTTTTCTTACGTTTTAAGATAATTATAAAAATGTATGTGGATATATATACAGAAGGTGCTAAAAATGTATACACATTTTAAGAAAGGAAATAACTGTATTAAATTGTAATACTCCTTGTAATCCCAGTGCTTTGGGAGGCTGAGGTGAGAGGATTGCCTGAGCTCAGGGATTCAAGACCAGCCTGGGCAACTTGGTGAGACCACGTCTCTACAATAAATAAAAAATTAGCTGGGCGTGGTGGCGTTCAGCTACTTAGAAGGCTGAGGTGAAGGGATCGCCTGAGCCCAGCAGGTTGAGGCTGTGGTGGCCGTGAGCATGCCACTGCACTCCAGCCTGGGTGACAGAATGAGACTCCAACTCAAAAAAACTCAAAAACTGCAATACTCAATATATACCGATAACAAAAGATGAATGCCATCTTTTGAGCAAACATCACACTACATATTGCTTCTGTAATTCAACACAACTTCAAAAAAGAAAAACATAGATAACCACGCTTAAAATGTGTATACATTTTTTTGGCACCCCCGGTCTATAGCTGAAACTGTTAAGGTCTGTAAAGCCAGTTGGCACATGTCTGATATGATCACCTAGGAGATGGTTTCTCACCGTGGCCAGGAGAGACTGAAGTTCAATTTCTAGGGTTTGAAGGGTACGCTTCATTTCGGTCAGCTCATTCCGGGCCGAGGTCGTGGCTCCGACGTCCTCAGAGATCTGCTGCTGCAGCGAAGCACTCTGAAACCACGCAGGCGAGGAAGCAAAATCTTAGTTCTGTGAATATCACTAAAAAAGCAGAGGGGTTGTTTTCTGGGTGAGAGTCACCTTCTCATTGAACCAGGCCTCGGCATCCTTGCGATTCTTCTCGGCGAGGGCCTCGTACTCAGCTCGCATGTTGTTCAGCAGGATGGTGAGGTCCACCCCGGGAGCTGCGTTCATTTCCACATTGACATTGCCTCCAGCCGCACACTGCAGGGCCTTCATTTCCTGGAGGTGCGAAAGTGTTCTGCTAAGCAGTGCAGGAGTCCACAGGAGTCTAGAAGCTTAGTTTTAGAAGGTCTCTTGGCCTTCTGGTTTCCCCCTCCCAGGCTGTGCAGTGACCCCCGACCCCCATATTTTATGTTTCCTGTACAGTTGTTGACAACTCTCAAAGATGGTGAGCTCACTACCTCATGTACTGGCCTGTTTCTTTCTGGAAGAGTTTGGATTGTTCCAGATCTCTTCATTTGGTGAGCCAAGCTCTTGCTCCTGTAACTTCAACTCATCGATTTTAGTTCTACTACCCAGAGGAAATCTTAATTCCTTTTCCAAATGAAAGTTTTTAAAATAGGAATTGTCCTCTGTCTCTTATTCTATTTATTCATGGTGTAAAAGTCTCAACCTTTGTGGAATGGTATTCATTCCACTAGAGGCCAGCTTTGATGCAGACAGCATGAACATGGTTGAAGGGCGAAGTTCAAATAATTGAAATGATTATAAATCAATAAATGTGTGTGTGTGTGTGTGTGTGTGTGTGTGTGTGTATGTGTGTATGTATGCGTGCATGGGCCCTCCAGGGAAGAACACTATCCTCAAAGAATCTCAGCTGTCTAGTAACTTACACAGGGACCTTATAGCATCATGTCAGACTTTGAAGTCCCAGAAATTTCGATGTGAATTCTGGTTCTGTCCTGTAGTGATTGGATGAATTTGGGAAAGTTGCTCAACCTCTTTAAGTTTCAGTTTACTTATCAGAAAATCAAAGATAATTAAAAACCCTTCTCTGTGTTGTTGAAAGAAATGAAAGAACTAATAATAATAACAAGACAGTAATTCTGCTCGGCACATAAATGCTAAACAAATGCTGGTTATTATGATTATTATCATCATGGACACTGGAATCTCTTTTGGAATCAAAGTCTACACATTATTCCCTCTGAGCCGTGTGCTGTTAGAACACAGCGAGTTGGTTCTAAGATTGAGAATGGCAGACATCACTGCAAAGGCCGTGTAGATTGGAATATCACAGATGAGCTGATGTCTCTGCTGCAGAAACCCTCTCCCCACCCACGGATGAGCCTTAATGATGGTAACTGAGACTTCCTCTCCTCCCTGCAACAAATCCCTCAGGCGATTCTAGCATTCTTTCCTCCCTGACAGACCCCATACTTTCTCTACCTCCACAAGTAGTTTTTATTTGAGGCTTTAGCGACAAGTTCCCCAGTTCAAGCAGAAAAGGAAAAATATATACAAATATATGGGTCTGCCTGGAACTGAGGCATTATAAAAATCAATTACTCTAAATTCATCCAAAATTTAGTAGATACTGTGGGCTGATCCATACAGCCAAATAAATGCTATTCGAGTAGTTGTATTTATAAGACAGCCAGACTTCTTACTAACCAAATAGTGTTCTTAGCTCGATCTCCTGTTTTAAGCATTTGGCTTGACTGTGGAAGCCTTTTTGTGTTTAAAAACATCAAATTTATTGTCAAAGGTTAAAGATTTTTTTTTTCTCTTTTACAAAACAGTGGCTCTGAAGTCAATTCAAAGATGTAATGGCCACAATATCCAATTTTCCAACAGTGACCACTTTGGAAGTATACAGTTTGCTTGGAAGTGTAAATTCTGATATACTAGTTTAATTTCAGTATCATTATTTTTATAGCTATACCTCATAAGAATATGTATTAATGTTGTATATGCTTAATGTAGGCATGAAGTAATGTTTTAGTGTTTTAACTCTGCCACTGTTATATAGTAATTTAGATCAGGATGTTTTCAAAGTATATTTATTTTACCTAATTAGATGTAATCTCCTAAGTGGACCATTTTAATTTAGCTAATAATTATCTAGCCAAGCACTGTTCTTACAGCCCTGATTGTTCTGGAAAACATGATTCTTTTTTTTTCCCATGGGAAACTGGATGAGAGAACAAGGGTGAATCTGTACAAAAATATGACAATTGTAAAGACAACTCAGCCCTCATGCCTTCTGACAATGTCTTCAGCCCCAACTTCTCATATAAGAGATTAAGTGTATTATCTCCTGTCAGATGGACAGTGTCTGCAAGCTACAGCAAAATATAGATGGTCACTTCTTACCTCTTTATGGTTCTTTTTGAGGTAAGTCATCTCTTCACTCAGAGTTTCAAACTGAATCTCCAGGTCTGTTCTGGACAGGGTTATTTCATCCAAAACTCTGCGCAACCCATTGACATCAGCCTCTACGCTCTGGTGAAGAGCCAGCTCGTTTTCATACCTTAAAGAGTGTTATTGATTTTCTGATTTGTCACCTGGCTGGAGACAAAGTCACTAACCAATGATAAATGCTAGAACTCTGGGATTTTGAAGATATGATCACAAAAGACATTTTTAAAGTTCGTTGTGTAACAATAATTATTATTTTGAGGAGTTTCACACAAAAAGAACTAGAGCATCGGGCACTAGTTTGATAGCATTTCACACCTTATATCTAATAACCAAAGCATAAAAAAGTAATGACATTCTATTTGTATTGAATCCAGGTGTCTTACAGTGTTGGCATAAGAGCTGATAACATTTAGAGGACAGATTGAAAATAAATGTGACCGAATGCTTTGCATTAATTGCCATTAATACTTTTCACTCTGGGAGTCTACTTACTTGAGTCTGAAGTCATCGGCTGTGAGCCTGGCATTGTCAATTTGCAGGACAGCATTAGCATTGCTGGTGGTGGAAGTGATGACCTAGAAAGAAGGAGTTTGACTTTTTAAAGGCAACTGACTACAACTGGTGAGAAACCAAAAGTGTCTTTTTTTTAAAAAATCAGGAAATGGAAATAATCAAAACTAATATAGTTACTAAGGAGTCAGTGACATTTTTATCATGAAGTTCACCAGCAGAATCTACTTAATGCTTATTTCCAATGCTATTGGAATTCCCTTTAAGAAATCACAAGTAGGAATGATACATGTTTTTAGAATTTAGTAAAGAAAGGAAAAGAAAATTTGCACATAAAAGTACATAAAGGTACTTTATGCGCAGTATAATTTCTTACCTTGTTTTTGAGATCATCGATTATTGGGAAGTATCTGCTGTAGTCATGATCAAGACCACGGCAAGAGCCAGGCCCAAATTTCTCGTACCAGCCCTTGATCTTCTGCTCCAGGTCTGTGTTTGCTTCCTCCAGGGCACGCACGTTCTCCAGGTAGGACGCCAGGCGGTCGTTGAGGTTCTGCATGGTCACCTTCTCATTGCCAGAAAGGAGGCCCCCCTCATTTAAGGTAAAGCCCGCACAGGAGTTGCCTCCCCCTGTGTTTCCTCCAGAAGAGCTGCCACCGAAGGCACAAGAGAAGCCACTTCCAATCCCAGGAAAGCTGCAAGCATTTCCAGCCCCAAAGCTGGCGCCCCCACCAGAGAGCCTGAGCGATCCTGTGGTGGGACGGGGACAGGACCTCCTGGAGGCACTAGACAGTCGGAGAGACATGATGTCAGTACAGGCACGTTGCAGAACTGTGTTCGCGAAAGCCAGAATGGAGTGCCTTCTTGCCTCGACTGTTTTGTTTGCCTTTTTATAGACACTTCCCAAGTGTGTTCTGGATGAAATTCTGCCTACATACAGTAAAACATGGCTTGCCAGCCTCAGCAGGTTGGCATAATTGGATGATTTTTCCTAATTAGTAACTAACTTTGCTGGGATCATTCTGTAGGAGGGCGGTTGCCTTCAGGTTGGTGGTTATCTGAGAAATGGGTCTGGGTGGAGTAAGTCGGGCTCATGGTTACATTTTACCATTTTGAGTGAGTCATTCTTCACTTCCATCCTGAGAAGATAAACCTCATCGGCCCATTACAGAATAAAAATTTGGCGTCATGGTTTTGGGCTATTAAGCCAAAACATTTTCTGCTTTTATTTTTACAACTTTTTTTCCACATAAGTAGAGAATAGAACCATAATCATTATTTTCTGTCTGGTCCTTCAATCACCAGGTTTTTGTTTTTAAATTCCTCTTGCCACTGTTTCTGATGGGACATTAACTTCCATTCCAGCTGACCAGTGCATTGCATTTTGTTGACACTCATGACTGGGGATAGTTGTCTTCTTGTACTTATTTTGGTAATTAGGAGCACACCCCTAATTGCTGTTATGTTTTGTGGGAATTTGAAAGGCCAATTAACTTTATTTCCTGACACTGCAAAACTTGAAGCAAACCTGGAAGGAACTATTTTTCTGTTTTTTACTTCACTGTGGTTTAGCTCAGGTGAAAGCCATCAGTAAGGTATGCACTGGGTACATGTATTTATTGAAAATCCTAAATATTATGGAAATTTAAAAAATTGATCAATAAAATTGTCAAATACATTGCATTTATGGTGTACAACAAGATATTTTGATATATATATGTGTTATGGCTAAATCGAGCTAATTAACATATTCACTGCTCTTTGTGGTGAGAACTCTAAAATCTACTTTCATATTAACTATAGTCACCATATTGTACAATAGACATCCTGAATGTAGTCCTGTTGTCTGAATGAAATTTTGTATCCTTTGACCAACTTCTCCCCAGTGTATTTCCCTGATGATTAGTGATGTTGAGCACATTTAAAAAAAAATATACTTGTTGGCTATTTCTATGTCTTTTGAGAAATGTCTTTTAAATCACATTGTTTTCTTGTTATTGAGTTGTTTGGATTTCTTATATATTTTGAATGTTAACCCTTTATCAGTTGTGTGGTTCATAGTATTTCATCCAACAGATTCACCCATGTTTCATTCAGCAGGTTCATTCATGATGCCACAAATGACAGAATGTTCTTATTTTTTAAAGACGCAATAAAATTCTATTATGTATATATGCCACATTTTCTTTATTTATTTATCTGTTGATGAACACTTAGATAGACTTTCTATCTTGGTTATTGTGAATAATGCTCCAATGAACACAAGAGTACAGATATTCTTTGACATACTGATTTCATTTCCTTTAGATACTCAGCAGTGAGATTGCTGGGTCATGTGGTAGTTCTATATTTGATTTTTTAAAAGACTCTCCATACTGTTTTCTTTTTTCCATAATGGCGATACTAATTGACATTCCCATCAACAGTGTACAATGGTTCCCTTTCTCCACATCCTCACTAGGGCTTGTTATCTCTTGCCATTTTCCTAATAACCATTCTAACAGGTGTGAGACAATATCTCTTTGTGGTTTTCATTTGCATTTCATTGATGATTAGTAATGTTGAGCATTCTTTCATAAACCTGTTAGCCATTTACTTGTCTTCTTTTGAGAAATATCTTTTAAATTGGGTTATTTGTTTTTTTCTCTTATTGAGTTTAGGTCCCTATATATTTTGGATATTAACGCTTCACAATATTTACTCCTAATCTGTCAGTTGTCTCTTCACTCTATTATTTCCTTTGTTGTGCAGAAGTCCTTTAGCTTAATGTAATCCCATTTGTCTATTTTTGCTTTTGTTGCCTCTTTTGGGGGTCAAATATATATATTAAAAAATTTGAGCCAGGCTCGGTGGCTCAGCCTGTAATCCCGTGCCTTCGGGAGGCTGAGGTGAGTGGATTGCCTGGGCCCGCGGGTTCGAGACCCGCCTGGGCAGCGAGACCTCATCTCTACAATAAATCAAAAATCAGCCAGGCGTGGTAGCGCGCGCTTATAATTCCGGCTACTCTGGAAGGCTGAGGTGGAAGGAACACCGGAGCCCAGCGAGTCGAGGCTGCAGTGGCCGGAAGCAGCCACTGCACTCCAGTCTGGGCAACAGAGTGAGACTCCACTCAAAAAAAAAAAAAAAAAATGTCCAGAACAAGGTCAAGAAAATTTCCCCCTATGTTTTCTTCTAGCAGTTTTACTATATTTCAGGTATTATGCTTAAGTTTTTAGTACATTTTGAGTGGACTTTTATATATGGAGTGAGTTTAGAATCCAATTTCATTCTTCCACATGTGGATATCTAGTTTTCCCAACACCATTTTCTAAAGAGACTGTCCTTTACCCATTGTGTGTTATTGTCACCTTTTTCTGGGGAAAATCAATTGAGTTTAAATGCATGGATTTATTTCTGGGCTCTTTATTCTGTTCCACTGGTCTATATATTGAATTTTGTGCCAGTATCACGACGTTTTGATTACTATAGATTTGTAGTCAATTTTGAGATCAGATATTATAATGCCTCTAATTATTCTTTTTGCCCATGGTTTCTTTGACTATTTGGGGTCTTTAATGGTCCTATATAAATTTTAGAATTGTTTTTTATATTTCTATGAAAAATGTCATTGGAATTTTGATAGGGATTGCATTGAATCTGTAGATCACTATGGGTAGGATGAATATTTTAACAATATTAATTTTTTCAGTCTACTGACATGGCATATCTTTCCATTATTTTTGTCTTCTTCAATTTCCTTCATCATTGTTTTATAGTTGACTTATTTCTGGTCTGATCTTGGTGTTTTCTCCTTCTACTAACTTTGGGCTTAGTTTCCTCTTCTTTTTTTTCCCTAATCCTTGAGACATAATTGTAGGTTATTTATTTGAGATATTTTTCCTTTTTTAATGTAGAAATTTATTACTATAAACTTCCCTTTTTGAACTGCTTTTGCTACATCCCATGAGTTTTGTTATGTCTCAATATATTTTTTGATTTTCCTTTTGTTTTCTTCTTTGACATGTTGGTTGTTGAGGAGCATGTTGTTTAATGTTCACATATGTGTGAACTTTCCAAATTTCCTCCTGTTATTGATTTCTAATTTCATACTATTTTGGTCAGAAAAGATAATTAATATGGTTTAAATCTTTTAACATTTGTTAAGACTTGTTTTGTGGCCTAACAGATGACCTATCCTGAAGAATGTCCTGTGTGTGCTAGAGAAGAATGTGTATTCCGCTGTTTTTGGATATAATATATGTCTGTTAAGTCCCTTTGGTCTAAAGTCAGTTTAGGTTCAATGTTTCCTTCTTGATTTTCTGTCTAGGTGATCTATTCATTGTTTAAAGTGTGGTAGTGTGGTCCTCTACTTTTATTGTATTGTTTTAGATTGCTGTCTTCAGATCTACTAATATTTGCTTTATATTTTTAGATGTTTTACTGTTGGGTACATATTTATTTATAATTGTTATATCCTCTTGATGAATTGACCTCTTTATCATTGCATAATGACTTTCTTTGTTTCTTTTTGTAGTTTTTTTTTTTTTTTTTTTTTCTTAAAGTCTATATTTTTTTCTGATATAGGTATAGCTACCTTTGCTCTCTTTGGGTTCTATTACATGGAATATAGTTTTACATCCCTACACTTTCAGTCTATATGTGTCCTCGTACCTGAAGTGAGTCTCTTGTAGGCAGTATATATATAGTCTCTTGTAGGTCTTATTATTATTGTTAGTTTTTGCTTTTCAAAAATCCACTCATCCACTCTATGTCATTCAACTGGAGAATTTAATCCATTTATATTTGAGATAATTATTGATAAACACTTACTACTGCAATTTTGTTAATTGTTTTCCAGTTGTTTTGTAGATCATTTGTTTCTTCCTTTCTTGATGCCTACCTTTTGATTTGACAGTTTTCTCTAATGGTATGCTTTGACTCTTTTGTGCTTCTCTTTTGTGTACCTACTATAGGTTTTTGCTTTGTGGTTAAATGAGGCTTAAGTAGAACATCTTGTAACAAGTTATTTTAAATAGATAACAATTTAACTTCAAGTGCACATAAAACTCCATGCTTTAACAGTCGTCCCCCGGCTACATTTTATGTTTTTGATGTCACAATTTGCATTTTTTTATATTGTGTATTTCTTATCAAATTTTGTATCTATAGCTATTTTTAATAGCTTTGTCTTTTAACCTTTGTAGAATACATAAGTCATTTATATATCCATTACAGCACTAGAGTCTTCTGAATTTGACTGTATATTCACCTTTACTGGAGAGTTTTTTGCTTTCATATGATTTCATGTTGCTAACTGGAATCCCTTTGGCTCAACCTGAAAAAACTACCTTTATTATTTCTTGCATTGGTGTCTGTGCATTTGAAGGAGCAAATGCCTCTTCCAGTTTTTTTTTTTTGAGTTGGAGTATCACTCTGTTGCCCAGACTGGAGTGCTGTGGCACGCTCCCGGCCACCACAGCCTCGACCTGCTGGGTTCCGGCTATCCTTCTGCCTGGGCAACTTGGCGAGACCTCATCTCTACAATAAATCAAAAAATCAGCCGGGCATGGTAGCGCGTGCCTGTAATTCCAGCTACTT